ATATATATATATATATATATATATATATATATATATATATATATATATATATATATATATATATATATATATATATCCACGCAGTAGGGGATGTTGGAACAGGTTTTCAACCATTAATACAGCCAGTTCAGACAGAAATTCCCAAATTAGTCTAAAACATCTGGACAGATGCCCATCAAATGCTACTGCAAATCTTTCACTTCCTCACTTTCCCTTCCAGCCTAGTCTACAGGTATCATTTTGTGATGCAGACCAAACCCCTCACAATCTCTCTAGTGAAATCCATCAGCGCAGCCACAGTTCAGTGTTTTTTTTGTGATTTCAAACTATCTACATATTATCGATTATACATCGTGGTGCAGAAATGTTTTGCGATATCTTTCATTGTGTTGTGAACTTCACAGTAAGGTCATACTGAACTCCTAAAACCTCACGGGACTCCTAAGGTGTGTTCTTCCAGGTTACAGGTATCTTATTTCAACATTAAGGACGCGGTTTATGTACTTATTGGGAACGCTGTGCCTTATAAAGTTTAAGAAAATACCTGGTAGACAACTATTAGTACTTGCCTGGCTGGGATGGCACGCCTTAAAAACATGGCATGCCATCTCTGACTCGGGGTCGTCAGGCTGGCTCCGAATAAGGTAGGCGAAGTACGTGTGGTCTTGGCTGTTGTGAATGAACCTTGATACAAACTGCGCTTTATGCTCGAAGATAAACACGGAAACGTTGCTGGATCTGGCCGGGACGCATCGTATGAAAGGCGGTGCGACGGTCAGCTCCACTTCCCTGGGCTGAGCCGGACCCACGGAGCTCCTCTCGCCTCTCCTCCGGATCTCCGCAACAAGCCACGGAAGCATAGGCAGCGTAGTCCGTTTGTCCATAGCAGACCATCCCATATACCAAAGCAAGAACCTCTTGTCTGTTTTCAGGGGATTATCCCCTTTGACCTCCTTGTTCTTTGCGGGCTCCATCTCTCCTGTCGGTTCCAGCACATATACTCGTATTAAGGCATTTGTCTGTTGGCTTTGCAGCAAGTGCAAACAGCCAGTTAACTACAAAACCCGGTCTGAATTTTCCAAAACGAAATGACTGTCAAATAAGCAAACTCCCTTAGCTAGAAAACAGTTAAAAGAACTTCAGAAGATAAAATGTGCCCGTTATTTTCTAATAAAAGTCATTTGCCTGCATTTTCAGAAAACGTATGGAAAACCAAAGCTGTCCAATAGATAGATTATTTATTTCCATCCCATGTAAATATCCCTGGAATACATAACAAGCGCCGTTTGCATCCTACAGCCATCTGTCCTAATAAATGTTTCGGCTACCTGGACTGTTATATTTAGGTTTGCAAGAGCGCTTATTTTAGTGAATCCGTCTGAATTTACGTCCTTTGCGGTCCGGACTCGTTCACACTGCAAGATCCGCTTTGTTATAAAACGCTAAAAGGAGCAGCGCCCGGTTCGGCTCCGGACTCCCGGGGAGGCGTGGCCGTATGTGACAGGAGGCTGCCCACCCTATGGGCGAGGACCGGGACAGGCGCGCACGAGCGATGGGAGGAGCCTCCGTGCCCCAGGGAGGCGTGGCCGTACGTGACAGGAGGCTGCCCACCCTATGAGAGAGGAGCAGGCCAGGCGCGCAGAGCGGTGGGAGGAGCCTCCGTGCCCCGGGGAGGCGTGGCCGTACGTGACAGGAGGCTGCCCACCGCATGGGCGAGGACCAGGCCAGGCGCGCACGAGCGGTGGGAGGAGCCTCCATGCCCCGGGGAGGCGTGGCCGTACGTGACAGGAGGATGCCCACCCTATGGGAGATGAGCGGGCCAGGCGCTCATGAGCGGTGGGAGGAGCCTCCATGCCCCGAGGAGGCGTGGCCGTACGTGACAGGAGGCTGCCCACCGCATGGGCGAGGACCGGTTCAGGCGCGCACTTGTGATAAAGTACTAAAAACTACTAATGAAATGCCTCATGAAAAATGTTTGTAGCTATATACTAACCCACCAAACAACTACAATGCATTTGTGGTGCTTGTCCAATTGGGGTTGCTGGTATAACGCAAGACTAACAATACTTGGTAAAAAAGAACAACAAAAAAACGTTACAGAAAAGTGACATTCAGTGCAGTTCATCAATATGCAGCTATTCACCAAGTAGTGATGAATGTCATGTCTTCAAAAACTCATTATCAGAGTATGGTTTCGATTATACAGATTCCCCTTATATATTAGTAACGTGCAGCAGCTCGATATCGCCGACTGACGTTTCAATCGCGCCACCTAGTGCTTCTTTTGCTAATGACGGATATGCTGATTCACTCCGGCAGCGGGGACGTTCGTCCGCTCCCTCTGACACGGCATAGTCCATTTGATAGGGGGGAATTGTGTTTTAAATTCTAGAAATACATGGCGCTGTTTTTACTGTGCATTTGCACAACATAGAATATTATACTGTTTATGATAATCCAGTATTTTTTGTCATCTGTGCTTATTTGTTTTGTGTTCATTATAATATACTGTTTTACTAAAGTACACGACCCCTCCATAAGTATTTCAACTTCGAGCTCAGTGTGCAGAGGCGGAAGCGTGAGAGATCTGTCAAGTGGCAGCCCGACTAAAGTGAACCCTTAATAATATATATTAACTAGCTAGCCTAAATCATACCAGTCATAACTAGGGCTAAATGGAGGGTCAACGCTGGTTACCGCTGGAAGCAAATCCCGATGTATGTTTTAAAACATGTTGCTTTATTTACATATTTTTTGGTAGAGGTAGCTCGCTAGCTATCAAAATCTGGGTCTATGGGGAACAATGGCTAATGGTGTTTTTTTTTTCCTTTTTCAGGTTATGAACCAAGTGAGTAAATCTGAAACTCAGGCCGTACTTCGGCTCGTATGATGAATATGCTGCAGACATTAAGGAGCGTTTTTTCGTTGCGATATGGCGAGAGGCGCGTGCCCTGGGTGGGGAGCGCTGGGCGCAGCTGCTCGCTAAACTGGCCGCCGTCCTGAGAAATATGTGCATCTCTGCTCAGATACGAGGTATAGAGACGGCAGCCTTGTGTCACATTTCGCTGTTTTTATGGAGACCATTTATGTGGTAATAGTCACCTACAGGAAGATTCCCGTAGTGTGCTCATGCTTTCATGCCGGATTAAAGTTACAAGCATGCAGTTACGTTTTATTTCGAGATCACTGATGGTAAGTGTGTTTTTGTGGAGCTGCTACGTAATGAATGTGGTGGTGTTTAAGTTAACAAGGCAACGAAAACAGTAATAAAAGAAAAATCAAGGCAGTAATTCAGACCGATATTTGTAATTAAAATATCGATGCAGATATCAGTAGTAGTAATGTTACTTTTTTCTGCTGGTAGAGTTGAATTAAGATCTTTGCACGATTCCGGGGGGTACCTATTGGTCATATCTTTATGTTAGTTGACTTGTTCATTGGTATAGATATTTAGGTTAACAAAATTTAAATTCTATGTAAGGATTGATAACATATGGCCGTGTGCTCTGTCTGAAGTTTCTGCGGCAGCTGGGTTTGCAGCCCTCCTGGCAGTTTGGAGATGTGTATGGTCTCGAACCCGAGCTCCTCAGCATGGTACCGAGGCCTGTGTGTGCGGTCCTGCTTCTCTTCCCTGTCACAGAGAAGGTACAATCGCTTATACGTGCTCCGGAGCACATCAGGGTGCTTGGGCCAAATGATTTACTTAGAGGGAAGGAGTTTCTCTTGCTCATCTCCTTGATGTCTCTCTGGGATTGTGCAGCAGACCTGTTTCTAACCGACCTGTTATTCTAGTGATGGTGAAGCACTGAATTTGAATGCCATCTCTAAAATATCCCATTTATTGATCGAATCCCTCTTTTCTGCCCAGTATGAATCCTTCAGACTGGAGGAGGAGGCCAAAATTAAGCTGCAGGGGCAAGAAGTCAGTCCCGGGGTTTATTTCATGAAGCAAACGATAGGCAATGCCTGTGGAACAATAGGCCTTATTCACGCAGTGGCAAATAACCAAGGCGTCCTGGAATTTGGTAAGTGCCAGTGTTTGTGGGCCACTGTATCATAGTGTGTTGAATTTAAACACTGAAGGTATTATTCCTGGTTCAGCCTACAAAAGTGCCTGAACAATGTAGCCATCTGTGCCGTTTTAAGAATCTCTGCTTATTTTCGTCGGTTTTCACGTGCAGCATTCTTCTTCTGCAGAACCCGACTCCGCCTTGAAAAAGTTTCTTGACCAGTCCAGCTCCATGAGTCCAGAAGAGAAGGCCGCGTTCCTTGAGAGAGATGAAGTAAGTACCGTATATGAGCTATGTTGCTGTGAGTTTGCCACGAGGAAGGTGTGCTTCTCTTGCTGCTTTTACACACATAGTTAGACACAATGATAGGGGCAGCTGTTTAAGTTCTGCAGCAGATGTCGTGCTTATTGTATATCAGCTCTGACACTTTGTGGTCACACAATGATGGCATGATGGATTGTTTCAGAGTATCCGTGTAACACACGAGTCCAGTGCGCAGGAAGGACAGACAGAGGTGAGTGCTGCAGATTTACATGCCTATGTTGCCATTTCTACTATTAGATGATCTTGAGAAAAATAATGAGAAAGATCTGTGATTAACTGATTGACTATTAATGATATTTTATATATTAAGTAATAGTTGAGCAATACTGGACTTCACATTCTAGAAATGTTTGTCATTTTTCATTTATTTATAAACTTAGGTTCGTAATTGTTTTCAATTTATAGCTGGTGTACATACATGTAAGGGGACATTGTATATTTTTATTTCTCTGTTATAATTTCTTAGGCCCCAAGTTTAGATGAAAAAGTGGATTTGCATTTCATTGCCTTTGTGAATGTGGGAGGACACCTTTATGAACTGGGTAAGTTCAGCTACGTTTTTTTCTATCCAGTTGCTATTGGAGATGTAGTTTTTGTTTTTTTTTTCTTCATTTTTTTTTTTTTAATTGATATTTAACAAAACAAAAAAAAAAAACAGAGCCAAATCAATATACAGTCGACACCTACAACAATCATTTAAAAACAAACAGTAATCTATTAATATGAGTGAACATGGAGACACCCAAGGGCAAAACAGTTCAGTAAAAGAAAGCATAAAAGAAAGAAAGAGTCATGATTGCTCAAGTAGATCCCACAAACGGGCCCATATCCGCCAGAATAGTTCAGATTTATTCTGTAAGTCGTATGTAAGTTTTTCCAATGGGAGAAGGTTACCCACTTGTGCCAAACACATCTTTAAATTTGGTACACGAGATGATGACCATAAGATAAGTATACATTTCTTTGCCAGACAAGTAATTAAATTTAGTAAACAATTTAAATCAGAAGGAAGATCTAGTGATACTTTACAATTTAACAGTTTTTTTTTTTTGTATGCAGCTCTGTATGAACTTACTACATTGTCTCCGTAACAAAACACAGCATTCAGAAATAACACGATTTATTGTTGCATTTCCATGATGTTTCTTTCTGTTTTTCTAAGGCGTTTAAAACTTTGGGGCCAGAAGCCTTTTTTCAAAACAGAAGTATTGCCAGCCACAGAAAGGACATTATATACTTCAGCCTGATTGTGGGATTTTGTTTTCCGCTTCCCTTTTCATTCATTTGTTGATGCCACCAAGAGTAATCGTATTAAGTTGACTCCACCGACACATCAAAAAGTGCTTGATAGTGTAACTAGGGATTGAGTGGTCAAATGATTTATTTTGTGCCCATTCATAGTTCATATGTTTTATTTTGACAGACCACAGGTCCCATGAAGGTAGCACGACTGAATCTCTCTCGCTAAATGTAGAGCTTTGTGGCCAGAATAACTAATCGTTTGTGCCAGTGTGAACCCTCTTTAATCGTTAAAATAGTACTGTTGGGATTTACTAAACACACACAGTGAAAAGTTAGCGGTGGAGAGGCATGGAGAGTTTTTTTTTTTTGCCACCAGCCATATTGCATTTGCATTTCTTGGGGTTTACTTTCATAGCGCAGAATTTGAGGGTGGGGTATATTTCAATGAATCACACAATGTGGTTTGCGATAGAAAATTTATTGCATATTGTGTCATTATTTAACTCTGGGGGGTGGGGGAAGCACGTTTTATTTTGCGCTGCCCTTGGTACATTGGGTCGGTTGTTGTTTAACTGACTGCATCTTTGTTTATAAATTTTGTTAATTTTTAGTAGATGACCCACAGAACTGGCCGCTCCCATTGGTGCTTAATTCATTGATTTATTTAATTGATTGATTACACCCTCACACTAGTTTGCTCTGCTTAGTAAGTCTGGTCTTAGATTAGTTCTAATCTTTATTAAAGTTAAGCTTAGTTGTTCTTCACAGTAAACGAACAATGGTAAACGCAGGGGATTGAGCCAATGTATACTGTCCATACAGTACTGTTTGATAGTCAAGCGTTTTTCTGTGTTTTCTCCTAGATGGCCGTAAGCCTTTTCCCGTTGTGCATGGGAAAACCACAG